AACAAAGTTTAGCCACATTTATTTTCCTGAATGGGCTTTGCTTGCTAACAGCATGCTGTGGCTCCTTTAAGAGAGGTTTTCCTGACTCAGCAGTAGCAGAAAAAAAAGCCACACTGTTTTAAAATGCCAGCTTTCTGGGCCATGATGCCAGCGCCACCTCTGGCTCTTTCAGGAGGCAGAGCATTTAAATGGTGTTTGTGAGCAACGTGCTACAACTTGATTAATGACAACATAGACCTGCTGTGTGCCTAAAACTGGGACAATATACATGGCTCTCAGAGGCAGAGAACAGCTCCTCCACGCAGAACTGGGCAGGGCAAGCAGGTAGTGCCATATATACCCTAGTAATGCCACTATTTAGATTTTTAATAAGTGTTCAGCATTTTGAGAAGCAGTCCTGGTCAGAAAATAATTATAAATACACAATAAAGACAAATTCAGATGCAAAAGACCTCTACATGGGTCACAATATTGGATAAATGTACATAGGCTTGGGAGAGAGAATAAAAAGAATATAGACAGTTATAAAAGTCTTTAAAGAGACAGAGTACACACAGTCATAGATTAAAAGGAGTAAAGAAAGAAAAAGCCAACTAAAGATAGCATATACACAAAGAGTCTGGATTATATATATTGTTGTGTTTTCTTTGAATTTTTTGACTGCAGAGTGACACTGATACTGGGGACTGCTAAACCAAGCCAACATATATATTTTAAAGGTATCTTTTTTTCCTTTTTTTAATTGAGCTCTACATTTTTCTCTGCTCCCCTCCCTGCCTCTCCCATTTCTCCTTCAACCCTCCCCCAAGGTCCCCATGCTCCCAATTTACTCAGGAGAACTTGTCTTTTTATACTTTCTACTTTCCATGTAGATTATATCTATTAAGTCTCTCTTAGTGTCCTCATTGTTGTCTAAGTTATCTGGGATTGTGGTTTGTAGGCTGGCTTTCTTCGCTTTATGTTTAAAAACCACCTATGAGTGAGTACATGTGATAATTGTCTTTCTGTGTCTGGGTTACCTCACTCAAAATAATGTTTTCTAGCTCCATCCATTTTCCTGAAAAATTCAAGATGTCATTATTTTTTTCTGCTGTGTAGTACTCTATTGTGTAAATGTACCACATTTTCCTTACCCATTCTTCAGTTGAGGGGCATTTAGGTTGTTTCCAGGTTCTGGCTATGACAAAGCTACTATGAACATAGTTGAGCACATGTCCCTGTGGCACGATTGAGCATCCTTAAAGGTATCTTGAATTCAAAATATGGGTCTAAGGATATGTTGCTTTGGGAAAGAGGTTTTTCTTTTGTTTCCATAGAGGATGAGAACCTCTGAAATAATTCCAGACTAATGTGGTTTGATGTACCAAGACCCTCTAAAAGGTCACTGTGAACACCCCCAAAAACTACTTCGCCCAACAAAGAGCAATAAGCAGTTTGGAGAAGAACTACGCCCATATTCCCAAATATTATTTATAAATGCTGGCTTACATTTAAAGAGGGATATGATACAGAGATTTGCATTGGTATGGATTTTGGTTTATTGATACAAATTTAAGTCAATTTTGTTATATATGTATATGTATATTTCTGCTCTTGATTAAGGTATTTTGTTTGTGCAGCTCTATATATACATTACATTTTTAAATGAGTTTCTGTGCCATGTGTTCTTCATACATTTCCCATGTTTAAATGACTTTCCATGGATGGTGTTTATCATCCCCATTCAACAAATGAAGAAACACAAATTCAAAGAGGTGAAGTACTTACCATAGTCCTGATGACTAAAGTCTTGGAATCACAAAGAAACTATGACAGGTGACACCAAACTGTCCCCATGATTCCAAACTCCCTGTGCTCAACCCTTATTTACCTGTCTCACTAAATAGGGATGATCTGCGAGACTAGCTGAATATTGTGGGAAGGGAAGGCCTGGATTCCAAGGCCAGATCATAGTCATTATGGCTTCTACCTTGCTTTTAAGTCACTTTTAAGGAAAGTCACCATTCCACAAAAACACTGTCACACCATGAGAACCTTAAAGCAGCCTTATGGAAGGTTCTACATGACAACATCCAGGACTAACTTACCAGATGTCATGGGAGGGCCACAGTGAAGGCAGGTCTCCAGACCTATCCACACCCTCAGCTGACTGCAGCCTCCTATAAGCTCCTGAATCATGACCAGCCAGGCCACGGATCACAGTCTACCTGGTAGCTTGTCACATAGCAACACAGAACTGACATGGCAACCTTGGGATTTCTTTAGTACACAAAAGGAAGCCAGTGACAGCAGGTATATCAGGGGGCAGCTGAGAGAAGCCAATGCAAACCCCACCCAAGGTGCCTGTCCTGTCCTAGAGCCCACATTCACCCCATACCACCCAAAAACAGGCCACATCAGCACCTATCCAGCTATAAGCCTGCACACAGGCAATGAGCCACTGCGTATCAGAACAGGGACACAGAGGCAAGGCTCTGAGTGGGCAGGGCCCTGAGTACCACTTACCACAGGGACCTGCCTTCCTAGCAGCATCAGAAACTCAAGGACCCACGTGCTGGGTCCTTCATGGGGTTTCAGGTCTCTCCTATCTCCTCACTTCTGCCAAAGTCCCAATGACACACCTGTGTGCATGAAAATCTCACTGCTTGGGGCATTGTTTCAGAAGCAGTGATGGATATCCTCCCAAAATGTCTGAATCTCTCCATACATGTGGCTAGACAGAAGCCCTGCCGAGTGCTCTTTTATTAAGTCATGTTTTCCAACTCCACATTAACAAGTATGGTATCAGCAGACAGCATGATAATAATTCCCTAATGTTGGGAGGAGGACATGGAGGAAGCAGAGATCTAGGGCCACTAGCAAAATGGCCAACAAGGAGAAACAGCTGATGCCCTGCTTCCAGGGAAACCCCAGAAGTGCAGTCACCATCTCAAACCCAGTCAGCACTGGGGAAGATCAGGAACTATTTCCTGGACCCATGAGCCCTGATACCAAATCTACATCCACACCAGCAAAGCGGAAGCCTTGTGCTATGCAGTAGTAGGCACTCAGATGGGGGTGAGTCAAGTCCTGGCTACACTGTCCATGGCCACAATTATTTGTATTATCTATATGGGGCTGAATTCAGAGTAATCTTAGTCAATCACCAGATGAGAGCAAACCTTCAAATGCCTTGGTATTTCACAAAGCCCTCGACCATTGGTTTTAAAATCTGCTGCTGAGGTTCTCATCTCTGATTCTAGAGGACTCCATCTGAGCACATCAGTCATTTTCCAGCCCAGGCACATGGGCATTGCTATTCGTTGTCGTTCTGTGCACAGTAAGGCCTAAAAGGCACTGTCCACAGGGCTGCTGACCTGCTAGGAGCCCAGCTCACTCAGTGCCCATCCATCTCTCACACACTGGCCTCTGCTTCCTGGGAAGTCTGACCTATATCGCACAACTGCCTTATTCATGCCCTTCCCACTCTGGGGTGGTCCTACCACCACACGGCAGGCATCCCCAGAAGGAAAAATTCCAGTTTTCAGTCTGCTGGCAGTCACAGCAGCAGCAAAGAAGCGGGGACAGCTCCTGGCTCCCGTCAACCACTGTTGAACAATGAGAAAGGGGCTTTTAGGGAACTTTTAGGGAACTTGTGATAGGCGTTAGCAGCTCAAGCCTGGGGTTGTTCCAGGTAATTCAGAGCAGCTGGCTGTGGCTCTTCACTCTGGTGAACCTGGTTGACTTTTGTGAAATAGTACCAACTGGGTTCCAGGCCCAACCCAGAGATGCAGATTCAGGTCCAGGGGTGATAGTCTGGGAACCCCATACTTTGACAGCTGCCCTAGCGATTCTGAGACTTACACCTCATATATATAATTTTGAGACTGAGTTTCTCTGTAACTTTGGAGCCTCTCCTAGAACTAGCTCTTGTAGACCAGGCTGGTCTCAAACTTACAGAGATCCACCTGCCTCTGCCTCCTGAGTACTGGGATTAAAGGCATGTGCCACCAATGCCTGGCCCCAAAATAAAATTTTAAAGGAAAACGCAATGCACTTTAATGTCTGGGAACAACCTTAAGATGTTACCATTACTTCACAGTCAGCCAGTAGTATGGATTTTTCCTGTGTTGTGGGAGGGCTGGGCTTGAGGTTGGCCTAGACAGTTTGGCTCCATTAAGACATGCAATCACTGTAAAGCTAGGTATACTCTAATCCACACCATAGCTGCAGCAGGCCCTTCTGAGCTGTCTCCCTGCCTGCACTTCACCCCAAGGCATATCAGCACTGTCTGCTCATCTTGACCACAGTCCCTTGGCCACATGACTAAACTGAGCTAGACAGACAACTGTGTTGTCAGTCTAGAAAGCTGTAAATGCAGAGTTTTGGGGGAGGTCAAATTGGGCCACATGTGCAGATGGAGAGGAAGGAAGAGAGGAAGCAGAAGCTAACGGCAGGGACACCCACACCCAGTAGCTCTCTCTATATATGGACCCTGGAGGAAAGTTCTCATTGCCCTTCACCTTTCTGAAGTGGACTTGTGTTACTTGCTAGCAAAAAAAAAAAAAAAAGGAACTCTGGTTAAAATAATTAAAACCTTACCAACTCGAGGATGTCACCAGAAATTTTCATTTCTGAAGACCCACATTGACTCTTCCCCCCTCTATCACTTCTAAAAATGCACATATGCTTTTACTATAAACATGCAAGGGTTTGCTGTGGCAACTAGTTTCAGGGCAGAAGCAAGGCAGCCACCAGGATGTGGGATCAGCATGAAGAAAGCTCTGTACCCAACAGCAAGTGCTCAGCCAAGACAGCCTGGGGCAAGAAGGACAAGGAAATGTGCTGCCCAGTAGAGACTGGGCACCAAACCGTCTGCCCTGCCAGACTGGGCCAGATGGTGGCTTTCTCAGCAGAACCCAAATTTCTGACTCAAAATGGACTCATGTGACTCTGTGAGGCTCCAGAGGACCATTCCTCCCGAGCCCTAGCCATCTGCAGTACATGGCGATGGTACAAACCTCCGGCTGGATGGCTTTGAACACAGGGATGTCCATCAATGTGATCTGACTCTACAAGAGAACAGAGATACCGGGTTAGAGGCTTTTAAACTGATACTGAAACACAGAAGGTTTAGTATTCATAGGGTACCATGTGATGTCTGGACACACGTGTATGATATGTCACATTTAAATCAGGTTAGATATATCTGTCTTCTCAGTTATAACTTCTTCCTGATAAAACATTCAAACTCCTCCATGCTTTCTGCAGTACACAGCTCATCCTCTGTATTAACACAGACTGGAACTTCTTTCTCCACTGTTCGGTCCCCCTCCTGACCCTCCCACCCTCCCAGATGCCCACACCCAGGCTCAGGAAACCACCTTTCCTCACTAGCTTCCATGAGACTAACCTTTCTATATGCCACATACGAGGGAGACCATGTGGCACATGTCTTTCTAAAGCCTGGCTTGCTTCACTTACCAGAATATTCTATGGTTCCAACAGTGTTATCTCAACTGACATGGTTTCATTCTTTTTTACGACTGAATAATAACGCACTACCTGTATGCGCCCCATTTTCCTTATTCATACATAGGTTTACCAACGTAGTTTGTTTCCACGTCTTGGCTATTGTGGACAGGCCTACAATAAACACAAGTATGGACTTCACGTGTTCTGGAGATACACCCTTTGCTGGGCTGCTGGTTCATACACTGGGAGCATCTTCACTGCTTTCTGTGACAGCAGCAGAACACACAGGTGTCCTTTTCTCTGCATCTTACTATCTCTCAATTTTTTGGTAACAGTCATTTTCCCTGGAGTTAATGAGAGTGAGAGTATTTGAGTTGCCTTTTCCTGATGACTTCTGGGCATCCTTCCATGTCCCCCAGCCACCTACATGCCTTCTCTGGGAAAGCCCACCAGGTCCGTTATGAATCTCACTTTGGGCTTTTTGCTGGAGAGCTTTCTGAAGTTCCTTATATATTCTGAATCTTAACCCTCGTGGTGAATGCATAGCTTGCAAATATTCTCTCCCACCCTTGTGGGCCATTCCTTCATCCTGCTGAATGCTTCCTTTGCTGGGCAGTCTTTGTGTCTGACAGAACCCCATTAGTCCATTACTAACTTCATGTCTTGCCCTTTCCAACCCCTTAGAGCAGTGGTTCTCAACCTCCCTAATGCTACAGCCCTTTAACACAGTTCCTCATGTTGTAATGATCCCCCACGACATTATTTCATTGCTACTTCATAACTGTAATTTTGCTATTGCTACAAATTGTAATGTAAATATCTGATATGCAGGTTATTTAATATATGACCCACAGGTTGAGAACCACTGACCTAAAAGCATCCCCTGTCATGTCTCCACCCCTGCCATTTCTTCTACTACTTTCAGTTTCAAGTCATCTTAATTGAGTTGGATTTTACTGATGGTGAGAGAAATAAATTTCTGTGCTATCTTTCCTACCACATCCCTCCTCATAGATCCAAGTCCAAGCCCTTCTCTTTGAAAACAAAATGAACTTCCAACCTCAGAGTTGATCACAGTCATTTGGAAGATGAGGCATGGCGTAAGAAAAACATTTTAGTTTGGAAATGCTTACGCTACTTGGGTTTTTGTTTCAAGTATGACTTACCTAATTTAAAAAGGTTGTAGATACACTATTTTAAAACTTGTATGATAGAGACAGCATCTATTACTCAGATTTAAATAAATAGTAGCATATATAGACTTCTCTTCTGAAGCCTCTACCTCCCCAAAATTACATGGTAGAGAGCTATTCGAGATGTGTCCACAGACCCCATATGAGGTCTTTTTTTTTTTAAGACTTATTTATTAATTATGTATACAGGGTTCTTCCTGCATGTATCCCTTCAGGCCAGAAGAGGTAACTGGATCTCATTACAGATGGTTGTGAGCCACCATGTGGTTGTTGGGAATTGAACTCAGAACCTCTGGAAGAACAGGCAGTGCTCTTAACCTCTGAGCCATCTCTCCAGTCCCCCATATGAGGTCTTGAACTGCTTATTATCCCACGAGCCATCAGTGAGACCAGAGCAGAAGTTAAGCGGTAGCTCTGAGAACCTGTAGAAGTATGGCATGGCTACAACAGTCCTACTGCCCTCTCTTCTGTGCTACTCTTGCAGAGTGGAAAGAAAAGAAGAGGGTCCTCCCAGAGCAGCAGACAGACTGATTTCACTAACGGGGCCAAAAGTTCATCTAGGGACCAGGGAAAGGCGTCACTCATAACAATTCTTCGGGCCAAGGTAACTTCATTACTTACTCGCCTTTGTGTGTCACATTGGAACCAGGTGTCAATTACCACCTGCCTCTGAGACAGGCCGGGAAGAGGAGCCATGGGCTTTTGCAACACATGGTCTATTGAACCTGTCCAGTGAGACACATTCAGATCTTGCAGTCTACAGGGCAGAAATTCAAAATAAGAGATAAAAAAATGTCCAATGTGACAAATACATCATTGTGTGTGTGCACATATCGAGGGGTAATGGAAAATGCACTAATGCAACCACAGAGACGGGGCTCTTGAACGACCGCGTGAATGCAGTCCGGAGCCTGGACAGAAGGCCCACTGCCTTGGCTGGACATTCACATGCCAAAGTTGTTCTAGAGAAGAGGAAACAGAAGCTGTTACACTGTGTTACCAAAAAGCCTTATATCAAGACAACACTGGAGGAAAAAAATGGCAACACATAAAGTATGTTACCTGTAACCATAGCTGGGGTACAGGCACAGAACTATGGCCAGCTCCTGGCACAATTCCAAGGTGCTCTGCAGCCACTGGGCTGCTAAAAAGCACAGAACACAGACCAAAGCATAGCATCCTCAGAGTCTAATGGGAGGGAAATGGGTAGAGATTTGTACAGTGGGCATGCTGTTCCTCCCAGGGCACAGGGGGAATGTTGCCACTAATGGAAGCTTGGCATCAAGAATAATAAGGCACCAGATGAAAATCCTAGCTCTTGTGCTTTCCCCTTGGTGGCAATGGGTGTGTGACAGCTGCACACCCTGTCCTTGTGATCCGGGTAGAGTGGCTTGTAATAGTGCTGCAAGCCCACATAACACAAAGCTCCATCCTGGGCAGTGCAAACAATTGTGACCTTTGCTGCTATATATCCCCCGAGCTTGTTAGCCACCACATGCTGCCACACCTGGATCAACTGCGGATCAACACAAGAGCAGAAAGGCCTTTGAAAACAGGAGATTTGAGCCAACAGCTCAGGGCATCTTGGTTCCATCTCTCATGTGGTTCCAGTTCATGTCCCTCCAGTCTGCTGGGAACTAGGAGTGTGTGGAATGACACTTAAGAGAAGAGCCCAAATCCAGCTGGTGAAACAATAAGATATTCTCCCCCTTTCACCCCAGAATTTCCAGGGGAGCTACTGCAATGATGACATATCAGCCAAGCTTCTTTGAATGGTCTCAGTTTCACATCCTGATCCCAGCTCAGGCTGTCAGTCAGAAACAGTGTGCAGATGTTCTCAAGACACATCAGTGGCTGTAGAGACAGGCTGATGTGGTAAAGTGCTTGCTGTTCAACCTGAGCCTGGATCCCCAGCATGCTCAGAAAATGCTGGGTACGACAGTCTGTGTCTTTAATCCTAGTGCTGGGAGGCAGAGACAGTGAGATCCCTGGAGCTCCCTGGCCAGCAGTCCAGTCTAGTTGTGAGTCCCAGGCCAGAGAGAAATCCTGTCTCAAAATGTAAGATGGAGAGCAATAGGGAAGGACACCCAGCATTGACTTCTGGCCTCCATATATACCCATGTACACCACGTGCACATGTACACACAAAGGGGGAGAAACCACACACCAAGAGCGCTGGTCCCAGGATGGGGGGCTGTCTGTTCCTAACATAAAGAAGGTTTTTCAGAGACCCACATCCATTTTTGCCTCTCGGCTCTCATCAGAAAGGATGCAAAGTCTCTAGCAAGACAAATATCCAAGTAAAACTCAGCAGGTCACCAATGTCACAATACTTTACTACCACACCAAACTTGCTCAAAGGCTGCTGCTGAGCAACCCATCCCCCAGGGTATGAAGGCTCCAGAGCTGTCAGTTACTCTCAAAGGGCAGGGTGGAGGGGTGGGGGTGGCACATGCTAGGGGCCTACAAGGTGAGGTCAGGTCCCATTCCCCACTTGCTTCCAGGTACTAATTCACCCAGGAGAGCTTGAGCAGGGAGCACTAGTCAAACCTCAGAGTCACTAGGCCATGCCTGCTATGCTTTTCTCCATCCCTAAAAACCTGGGCCACTCAACACTGAGCCAGGCTTTGAAGAGAAACGGTGAGTCACTACATACTGTATGACATCTCTGCAGGGATGAATGCTACAGCCTGGAAGGGGCCTATCAGAGCACTGTACATCTCCCGCACCCCCAAGAAAAAATGGGTATTATGTCGTTAAGAGAAGCTAATTGGTTAGCTAAAGGGAAAAATGTTTTTGTTTATGATGAATATACATATTCCTAGCAGTGCCACACCAAATCCTTACATCCTAGCCAGAGCTTTCATGTAAGGCTTTCCCAAGAAAGCAAACAGAAGTTGTTGGTTAATGTTGTATTGTGTTATATAAGGTACCTGAAAGTCTGCCATTAGATCCCTTTGCCGATGAGCAGCCGCAAGCACTCAAAGGACACTAAGCCGTCAGTTCCAAAGGTACTCCTGAGTTAAGATTAGCTCACAAGGGAGGCCACAAGCCATGAGAGACATGACCAGAACCACAACCAGAAACATGAGATCCGTGGCCAGAGGCACAAAAGCTACAATGAGAGTGCTCCTAAAGCCACAACGAAACTATGGGAGACATAGGAGGCCACATACCACAACCACAAAAGTCCCCAACTACAGCCACTGAAGCCATGACCAGGACACAGGAATAATAAACACAGCCATGGGAGGTCATGACCACAGTCAAGACAAGAGCCATGGAAGCTATAACCCAGAGCCACAGGAACCCATGACCAGAATCATGAGAGCTATGTATGACCATAGCCACAGGAGCCACAACCAGTGCCACAAGAGTCATGACCAGAGATAAGGGAGGCCATGACAAGAACCACAGAAGGCCACAATGAGCCAGAGAGAGCTACAAACAGGCCATGACCAATATTTGAGAAACCTCGAATTCTCAGAATGGGAATACAGACTCTACAAAAAGAAGCTGCTGGCTGGCAGTCAGAGCCATATAGATAGTAATGATCCACCTGTAGTTGGCATAGAGCCTCTGTACCATGGGGACCAGGAAGAAGAAGGAGGAAGAATGGGAAGGGGAAGAAGGAGGGAGGAGAGAAAGAGAGAATGTCAGGGACTAGTCATAGCTCTGCAGAGAAACACGGCCCTGGAACAGTGCTCAGAGTGAGGTTTGAAGTCACCCCAGAGCCAATATTCCCCTCCCTAACAAAACCCCAAGAGAGGAAAACATCATGGCAAATGAAAGGCCAGCTCTGCCCCACCGAAGAATCATCCAGAAACCAAAGACAGGCTGAAGAAAAATAATATTGCCTATTGCTCTAGGAGATGGCACATAAACATGCAGAAGGTGGAAGCAAACAAGAAGGAGAAAAACGGAATCACAAATGCATGGTGTCTGCAGCCGAAAGTGTAGCGAGCAACATGGCTGGCTTTGTGATATGTGTCAGCAGCAGACCCAACCCTTTGCCAAATGTGCCTGTTTGTGTACTGTGTGTGCTTTGTAAACTGCACTGAGCTCTGCTCCTTCTCTTACTGTGCAGATGCACTCTAGGTCCCACCCAAGGCAGCCAATTATAAACCCAAAGCATTCTTTTCCATCACTTGCTCTCCTACTGTGAACATATGTGGTATTCCCAACCTGGGCAGAAACCTAGAGCAGTGACTCCCTCCACCACCCTGTAACAGAACCACCATCCACATCAGTTCCACGTCACTTACAGCAAACTCCTCGGGAGTCACTTTCAGAACGTCAAAGACGACAGCATCATAGCTCTTGCTGGCATAGTCGCAGCTCTGGCCCTCCAGAGAGTCTGAGCTGCTGCTGCCCTGTGGAGAAGGCAAAGAGAAATACCACCTAACTGGTCTGGCCTGAGGTTGCTGCCACCCAAAACCTCCCCAGAATGGAGACAGAGTGACAGGCTCACGGGATGAAAGGTGCCTGCTGCTATCACGTTGTTCCACGCTAATTTCTAGAGCACTTCCCACACCATCTCAGTCCTCACGGTTCTCTACATGTACATGGCAGTGTTCCCATTTTACAGGTCAACAAGCAGAGTTGACAGTGTTTCTCCACGGTTCCTTTCCCATAAAGCTGAAAGCCGGAATGTGAAGCTTGCTATCTGAACCCCCAAAATGACCTTGGACCACTATCCCTAACAGCTTCTGGCCAGCATTGTAACGACAGGGGAGAGTCCAACACCAGAGCTGCAGTGTAGCTCAGTACAGAACACTCACCAAGCATGCTCAAGGCCCAATTCTGTCCCCAGCACCCAAAAGAGAGAGAAGAACCCTAGCCTAATTCTCCCTCACAACGGCCTCCAGACTCAGGGACCCGAGGAGATCATCCCTTTTGTTGACTTTGTTTTTTCATTTTTAAAGATTTTGTTTCATTTATGCATATGCATGTGTGCCATGTGTGCACAAGGTACCCAAAGAAGCCACAAAAGGACACTGGATCTCCTGGAGCTGGAGTTATAGGTTGTGGTACTGGGAATCAAACTCTGCAACAGCAGCCAGTACTCTTAACTTCGGAGCTCTCTCTCAGGTCACCTTTTCTCTGTCTGGCTGGTTAGTGCAGGTCACTGTAACACAAATGATGAAGCTGGCTCTGGAGGTATAACACACACACAGAGCTGGCTTGTGAGCTGAGAGCTAACTGCTGAGCTTCAGAGACTGTTGGGGAGAATTCCTCATGTAAGGGTCACTGAGTCCTGCGTGTATGGACGGGGCCTCCCACAGGGAAACAAGCAGAAACCCAAATTGGATGGAGTTCATAAAGCCCACCCCTCTTGAAGGTACCAAAATGCTGGACACACCTTTTCTTTAATATGACTGCATTTCATCACGCTCTACTTGGACACTCCATCAGGCTCACCACCCAAACCTGTGCCTGTCCATAAGTGGTTTTATCCATCTCTACTCATGGAGGAGTCTGTGGTTTCTGTCCATTCCTCCATCTTAGAGTAGGGGGTGAAGGAATCTACTTTTGCTAATTTCTTTTTATTTTACTTTCTATCTGGGGAAATGTTGCAGTCTTACTGGAAACTAGGGTGTTTTTATAGGTCACGGAAGAAAGCTAATAATTATGACAGTGTGAGGTCAGGAAGTGGAGCAGAAATGCAAGCGGCCCACCTCATGCCTGGGCCTGAGGTGTCTATAGGTGAGGCTCCCACACTGAAACTCCACGTGGTCTCAGAAGGTAAGAGACCATGCTGGCTCTGCAGGCACACAGGCCCGCATAGAATGCCAGCCTCATATCAGCTGCCACCTGATCTCAGGCACTGACATCATTTTGCTGTGTCTCATCAGGTACAAAACTGTATTATTAAATACCATATTCCAGAGTAGCAACACCAGTTCCCAAACAAACCCAAATCACCCCGCTTTCAGAACCTACCACCACAACTTCCTCCCTCCCCAGGACATGCTGGCTCAGGGGCTGGGATGTCAGCCACCTGCCCAGAAGTGGGAACCAGTTTCTTCTCCTCTTTGTGCTTTGGGTTCCTCAACTACAAGTTGACAAAGGGGTGCATACCAAAAATAGAGAGAGCTGGGTGTGTATGGATGTGTGTCATTCCGTCACCACATTGCTAAGTACTTCAAGTTTCATGTATGCACTCATTCCAAACATACTTTGGTACTTACAGCCACATACATGGAGGCCCTGAGCAATATCAAAATCTGCACTGCATAAAATCGCCTAGCATAGAATTATGTGTGTTGTCCCACATATTCTGAATCCTCTCTGGATGGCTAATGCCTATTACAAAATAAATGCTGTGCAAAGAGTCACTGGTGCTGTTCAGAGAAAAATGAACCAACAGTCTGCACATACTTGGTGCAGGAGTAAGTTTTTGTTAAACATTTTTGATGCATGGTTGGTGGGTCCCCTGCACAGAGGGCCAAACATGCACAGGGTAGCTGTGAGTATACACATCTATGTATGCGTGCATACATACATACACAGGCCAGAGAAGAAGACTATTTTACTTGAGAAGGAGTGTAAGTTACAGATACAAACAGAAGTCTGGTTCCTCTAGTTGGATGTAAGGCCTTAGCGCATTGCTGCAACACCCCAAGCCCTCAGGTAAGGGTACTTATTGAATCAAAAGTTGTCCCAAACTATTTGCTGGCAATGGTGACAGTAGCAACAAGGATGACTCCGAATTAACTACTCTGGTCTCCTAGGAAATTTTAAAAGGCATCGATGAGACTGGAGAGATGGTTCAGTGGTTAAGTGTACAGACTGCTCTTCCAGAGAGCAGGGCCTGAGTTCAGTTCCCAGCACCCACACCAGGAGACTCACCATCACCAGTAACTCCAGCTCCAGGGGGATCTGATGCCCTCTTTTGGCCTCCATGAGCACTGTACTCATATGAACATAAACATATAATTTAAGAAGAAAATTTTTTAAAATGTATTTAAAGGCGTTTATAAATGTGGTTTCAAGACTAAAAATAAAATCAAATTTCTTTTAAAAGACTGATAAGAAACTAATTCCTATGACCTTTGGTTAGTTAATCTGAGGTCAAATTTCAAAACTCCTTGTGGGATGCTCAGACCCAACCCTGTTTTACCAGCATCTCTGAGGAGCCAGCACTACATCTAGACACAGAGGTACTAGCCTCAGATGACATTCCTCCTTCTGTGTGTCTGTACCATTATTGAGCTGGGAAAGCAAATCCCAGACCTCATGCAGAGTCCCTGCCTAGGCCACGCAGACCACCAGTCCTTACAGCCGGTTCCTAAGAAGCAAGGTAAATAAGTTCCATGGCCAGCTGGACTGGCGTCTGTCTGACCTCATTTTGGAACACATGGCTTATTTATAATCAACAACAGTTTTTCCTGGGAAAAGTCTGATCCCTTCTTGCCACCAAAATGGAATGTAACACTTGCCATGGCTGGACTGGAGAGAACAACTTCAGAAAACATCACCATCCACACGGCTGATAGGCTCCCAAACCTCCTGCCTGGAGTGGCAGGCCCTCAGAAGACCTGTATTCATGGCCAGGGCCCCATGTATGGACCTCTCTCCTGGTACCCTCCCACAGCCTACATACCTGTGGAGTGGCGGAGGTGACTAACACGCTAGCCATCAGACCATTCCTCTTGTACATAGTCTCCAGGCCTCAGGGAGCTTCGGTGCCACCTCTGCTGGTGACATAACCTGCCTGCAAGGCAAAGGAACCCATAAAAACCTACCCTGAACCCACAGAACCACACCAGCCTCCAAAAGATCACCCAGAGACCTGAAAAGAAAGGTGTGAGCTGGTATCCTTCAAGCTCAGGCTGGCCCATAGAACCTGGGTACCTGCTTCCCTCCGTGGAACATGGTGAGCCTGTGCCATTACTGAGCTCATACACCTAGATAATGCTAGATTAATTGCCAATGTTTAACAGCTGTATGAATTCTGCTCCTTGACTCTTGTGGCAGCAATGAACCCACATTCCTGCCCAGTCATCCCACCCCTTGCAGCAGATCACTGGGTCCCACCTACACATCCATCCCAGGATGTACCTGGCCCTCACAGGCCCTAGGACATGTATTACAAAGAAGATGAAGGCTGATGAAGAAACTGGACACCATGCTGTGCCATCACAACCAATACCACAAAGTATTCACTAAGAGCCATGTGCTGGACTCCTCTACCTTATCGTCCCCTTCCACTATCCCACGAGAGGCCTTTAAGTCTTGCCCATTTACTATGAAGGGAAACTGAGGCACATAGAGGTGCATTTGCTTACTTTATCCAGTAGCAGTGTCACCTAAGACATCCTTGAATGTCAGGTCTGGCTATTCTGCCTGGACTGCTCATGTACACAGGCTCCAGAGAGCATCTGTCACCTCCTAGAACACCAAAAGCCACCAGCAGCTTCTCAGCAGAGAGTGGAGAAATGGAAGCTAACTGCAGTTGCCAGGGAACAGGGGGCTTTGAGCCGAGGTGGTAAAGGGGAGACAGGCAGGGAGACAGCAACAACAGAACCCATAGAAACTCCTGCGTGGCCAGTGAGAGCAGCCAGACTAGACCAAGCTGTTTACAGCAAGGCACTGAAAGATGGTGCAGCTGTCATCAGGGAAGAGACAGAGAGGTGGAAGAGGTCTGGGGGGACTTGACTCAGGACATGGTGATTCTGTGGAAGATGAGAAAAAGCCATCCTGAAGGGCTGGAAAGATGCTCGGAGGTTCAGAGCTCTGTCAGAGGGACTAGCACCCATCAGGTGGTTCACAACTGCCGTAATTCTAGTTCCAAGGATCCGATATCATGGGCCTCTGTGGGTGCACGCACACACGCGCACGTGCGCGCGCACACACACACACACTCACACACCACAGCTAATAAGGGGAAGGCCCCTAGGGAAACACAAAGCAGATCCAATACCATGGGCCTCCATGGGTACATACACACGTACACACACACACACAGAGTTAATAAGAGGAAAGCCCCTAAGGTAACACAAACCAGAACCACAAAGACACTACTTCATACCCAATAAGATAGCCAGAACCAGAAAAAAACAACAACAACAAAAACAGTCTATATCAAGTGACTGGGAGCTGGGGTGAAGCCTTCGTGCATTGTTGATGATACAACTGCCTCAGAATATAACTTGGCAGCTCTTGACTAGTTAGGACAACCCAGTGATCTGATCCCAGCATCTGCTGCAAAGGATGAGCACATCCCACAGACACACAGCAGCACTCCTATCGGCAAGAGCTGGAGCCAGGTCAGAGTCCATCATCCAGTGAACATCAAGGCAGTGTAACCTAGCCACACAGCATGCTCAAACCTCAAAATGTCATGCCAGTGGAAGAAGTCAGATGCAGAAGAATGTACAGTGTGATTCCATTTTAGGAAATTCCCAGAAATGGCAAATGTATAGGAATAAAGTGCCCATGGCAGGAGAAGCCTGCACACAGATACAGAGTACTTTTGAGGAGCAGAGAGTGTTCTAAATCTGGGCGATGACAAGTATAGTCCAGAAATGAGGGACCTGGGGCTGTAAAGCTGCCACACAATACATGAGAGGAAGTGCCCTCAGCTTCACAACAGGACCTCACCTGGCCTGCCTGCCATTCCCTTTGCAGTAATGGAGCGAACAGCATGATAAGCTGAGAAAGGAAATGTAGATGGGACCCAGAACCAAGGAAAACCCTCCATCAGAACCCCTGTGAAGGGCACAGGAGCTCCAGAAGAGGGTCCTAAAAGAGATGAAAGAAAGATAAACCCAGCTCAAGAGCTCGGCCATAGTAATTTGGGGTCAGGCCTCTTAGACTGCCCCAAATCAGCCCAGCCAGTCCACTCCAAGTTCAAGACTGAGGCAGGCTTTGCTCCTATCTGTATGTGCCTGGTACTCTGTGGGTCTTCTCAGGGGAGCCAGGCCTGGACACCAATTTTCTGAGTACAGCCCAAACCAGAGGCTCTCTAAAGTTGTTCTGGTGACTCCCTAATTCTTCCAAAGGATGCTGCCATGGCCGGGGAGATGGCTCAGTGGGTAAAGGCATGTGCTAACACTGGGACCCACATTGTAAAAGGAAAAAAGTGATTCCCTTCAAGTTGTCCTCTGACCGCCACATGCATGACATATAAATGTTAGAGGGACATGCTGCCAGCCCCACCCTCTTCTCCAGCCCCATTTGGCAGGACACACTAGTGGGGCAGCATCCAACCTGGGGAGGCACTGGTTAAACATTACATGTTTCGCTCATGCCCTTACCACAAGAGCCCCAGGAAATACAGACCACTTACATTGGAAGGTAGGAACTACTCAGGATGCTGGGAAACTGAGGCCCTATGAATTCAAATCCTGAACAGGCCTGGACATATACATCCCTGATACTGCCTCCCACAAGAGCATAAGAAAATCATGCAAGGCCAGGTGGTGGTGGTGCACACCTTTAATCCCAGCACTTGGGAGGCAGAGACAGACAGATCTCTATGAGTTTGAGGTCAGCCTGGTCTACAAGAGTTAGTTCCAGTTGAGCTAGGACTGTTACACAGAGAAGACCTGTCTGGAAAAACCAAAAAAAAAAAAAAAAAAAAAAAGAAGAAGAAGAGGAGGAGGAGGAGGAAGAGGAGAAAGAAAGAGAGAGAGGAAGGAAGGAAGGAAAAAAGAAAGAAAGTCAGTCAGTCAGTCAGTCATGCAAAACTTGTGCTGGCCAGGTCAGCTCATGGTCAGTGCTATTACTGTAGCATTAACTTTACCCCTTCTATGAGTTTCTATTTGTAGGTCCCTATTCCCTTTTCCTAAGTAAGCAAACAATTACCTTTAAACATTCATTAAAAAATGGCTAGGTGACCTGTGAGACCACAGGCTTCCACTACTGGGAAGGAGGTTGCCGGGAGTGGGCTCCAGGAAAACAAGCTTAGTGGTCAAATTGCAGAGCTATCCCATCTAGTAGGCTGGACCTATCCTTCCCTTTGACTGACCTCAGTCTACCTGATGAGGACATCCTGCCACTTGCTATGTAGCCCATCGTGTTTTCCATGGAAGGTAGAGCTGGAAAGAAAGCCCAAGCACTTATTTCTAATCTGTCTCCTGTATGTCTCCATGACAGAGACAGCCTCGCTGATGGACAAGAGGTGTGCCTATGTGAAAATGGCAGGACCAAATGGGACGAAGTATCCCATCAGGCTATGAGCAAGCCCCGCTCATTCAGGGTGGGTCCTGAGGCTGCTGAGTACAGCTCCTGTATCAAAAGGAAACAGTGGACAGATGGGCTAGGGTACAACAGAAGGTTATTGTAGGCTACAGGGAGGAGTGCAGGAAGCAGTACATGTGTATGTGTGCATATACAAGTTTCCCTGAAGACACTGAGAACCCTTGTAATTCAAGGATTTTGGACACATCATGTAATTCAAAGATTTCAGTAGCACATTCCATTTCTATTTCATTTCTATTTAGTGTGTGTGTGTCCATGTGTGCATGTGCATGTTTGTGTGTGTGCATGCCCTGTGTATACTCCCTCAGAGCTCTGAATGCCCTAGTGCTAGAGTTACTGGCCGCCATAAGCCAACAAAGATGGCGGCTGGGAGCTGAACTCAGGTCCTCCTGAAGAGCAGCAACCCCGGCACGTACAGACTCTGAAGGAACAGGGCAGGACTCGCTTTCCTACAGCATGAAGAATGGTGTAAGGAGCCACGGTGCTGATATGAAGTCAGCACATGAGAGCACAACAGGAAACATGGGGTGCCAGGTGTCTGCAGCACAGCTACAGAGAGCCCTTCTCGCTTCCTCAGATCTGTGTCCTTTGATTCTCACAGGTACTGGGGAAACCCAGAGAGGAAGACAGGAAGAAGCCTGTGTGGCCACGGCAGGAGTGTCTGCCTCTGATTTTCCCTCATCTGGTCAGAGGTGAAGTGTTCACCAACCTTTGTTCTGTGCAGAGGATTCCAGGCAGCCCTAGACTACAAGGAGCTCAGGTACAGCCTGGCCCTCAGAGCCTCTCACAATCAGTTAACACAGGCTTTGTCCCTGACTCTGCAAACAGGATTCAAGTGCATTCTGTAAAATCCATTAGTAGTGATTTGAATGAAAATGGTTCCCATAGGTTCCTAGGGAGTGACACTATTAGGAGGTGTGGTTTTGTTGGAGTAGGTGTGGCCTTGTTGGAAGAATTGTGACACCAGGGGTGGACTTTGAGGTTTCAGATGCTCAAGCCAGGCCCAGTGCCACTCTCTGTTCCTGCTGCCTTCAGATCTAGATGTTGAGGTCTCAGCTACATCTCCAGCACCATGTCTGCCTCTGTGCCACCACTCTTCCTGCCATGGTGACAATGGACTAAGCCTCTGAACTGTAAGCCAGCCCCAATTAAATGTTTTCCTTTATAAGAGTTGCTGTGGTCATGGTGTCTCTTCACAGCAATAGAATCACCAAGACACCATTTTACAGATATGAAAACAGTGATTCAGGGAGATGGATTAAACTATTCCATGTAGATACGTCTTTTCATGGCTGCACTCTCTATCCCACTGGGAAGGTAGCACCAGCTTTTTAGCCTTACATAATTCTCATTCTTCCGACCCTCCCTCTTCCTCTCAACTCACCCCCACCCCTCTCTCCTAGTGCACACATAAACATGCTCTTGCTGCTAACCCTCCCTGGAAACCAAAACAGTGCAAGAGCAAAAGCAGTTCTCATGATGTAATTCCTTAAGAGCGCACGGCAGCTG